CCGCTTCCAAAATGACCTCCTGGACGGCGCTTGGGGCGTCGCGCCGCCTCCCGGAAGACCACCCGGAGGACCTCCTGGAGGACCTCCCCGTGCACTGACGGCCGCAGGACTCCCGCCGAGGGTGCCGAAGTCGGGCGGCGGCACGCCCCCGATCTCCGCCACGCGGCCCAAGAAACGCATAAGCTCGCCCTTCTGCAAAGCCGTGAGCGGTGTACCCGACGACTCGCACGAGTCCAACGAGGACGTCGGGTCGGTGACGCGCACCCCGAACAGGTCGTTCACGGATATCTTGTCGCATGCCCCTCCCAACTGCACAACGAAGGCGTCCAACAGCTGCTCCCCCATTCCTGAGGCGGCTGCCACGGCGGCGACCCTGAGGCCGTGGCTCACTCTCGCGGCGCCTGGAGCACGCGCCTTGGGGACTGGCGCGCCGAACGCCGCAGGCGTCCCGGGCGCGGCCAGATCCCCAGGCTCCCCCCTGGCCAGAGGCTCCTCCCCAAACCACGCCATGTGCCCCCACACCTGTTTGGAGGAACCGAGTCGGAGTGCCAGGGACAAATGACATGAAAGAATGAAGGACAATGTACAATATCGAGTACACATGGGTAAGACCGAAAGTCGAATGAAATGGACACTGAAGACAAAATGGCCACGATAGCAACGCCATCGGCGGACTCTTTTGTTCCTCGTTGCATTACATGCCCGCCCCGGAAAGAAGAGGAGAAGGGTGGAGGAGGCGGAGAAGGGATAGGAGGAGGGCGATAAGGAGGAGGAGGGAAAAGTAGAGGAGAAGGATGGAGAAGGAGAAGGGTGGAGGAGCAAGCAGACGGCCCAGAGACCCTATCAAACAGCCCCAGGATCCACACCAATTGGCGACATGTTGCTTCCAAGAGGCCCCGAGAGTGCCAAAGGACTCCCCGATGAGGCCCGAAGACGGCCCTAAAGAGAGCCCCAAAGAGAGCCCCAAGGCGAGCCCAAGGGCATGGCCACAAGCGTCTCGAGGCCTTATCCATGGACGCTCACTGGCTGGGAAACCCGCGTGCCGTTTTTCCCCTGGGGGGCCGCCATGACTCTTGCTCTGCGAGCTCAGTCACAGGAGAAACAGGAGCGGACAGAGGAGTAGGAGGCCTCTCGAAGGGCGTAGAAAATTAAGTAGGAGGCGTTCACAGGCGGTTGGGCTTCGGCGCGCCCCTGGAAAGAGGAATGCAAAAGGGCGGCAACTTGATTGTTGAAATGAAAAGACGCTCACATGGATTTCCACGCGAGCGCAGGACCAACTGCATTCACGGTAGGAACACGCCAGGTATACACCGACGCCGATCCTGATCAGGCCCATGCTGAGCCGAGGAATGGTTTGTACACCCTCCTGGCGCGGCCAGGGAGGCATACACACCAATACTTGGGCCCAGGACCAGCGTAGGTGCAGGTGTAAGCGTATAGCTGGCACCCTCCTACAACACGACTCCTCGGTTCAGGCAGCCACTTGTGAACCCAACCCCTGTGGCCCATAGATTTAGAGACGGCGAAAGACTGCCCACTAAACTGCAAGCGGTCATGAGCGAAGTGAACCCCCACTGGGTCAAACTCGACGGGCGGCAGGGGTAGGGTTTACGTGGGCTTGCTGATCGGTTTATCGCGGCCTGACGGTCGGGAGTGTCCGGGAAACCTGGGGCACCCCACCAGATCGGCGGGCAGTCTGGCGCGCGCGGAGGCGGGCGACAGGACGGCGCGGAAGAAGGGCTCAGCCGCCGCCGCCATCGAAAAAAGGCGACGACGACGACGACGACGACGACGACGACGACGACGACGACGACCACCGACGCCAACGTCGCCGCTGACGCCGAAACCAGCACGACGCCACCGCCGAAGCGGAGGGCATCCACGTTCTCGGTGACGACGACGACGCGGACGAGACTCCACCGACGACCCCACTGCACGGGTGTTTGGACCCCTCTTTCTCCTTGAGGGACGACCATTGACCTAGAACGCGGGCGGTCGGCAACCCCACCCCCACCCCAGCAACCAGCAACCAAGCAACCCCACTTGCCCCTCATGCTTGCAACTTCCCAAGTCCTACGGAGCTCGCCAACAGGACCCCACCATATACGCGCGCCCTCGATACAGCATGTGCGCGCCAGCGAGGCGCGCTTCTTGCGGGGTTCCCTGTGCGGTCCCTACAGAGCTGGATGCAGCCCTAGTGGGATCCCTAAAACGCTGGGTACCGCTGTATAGACATCCATACAGGCTGGATCCTGCGCTATAGACCCCATAGGGCTTGATACAGCTCTAGTCAATCCCTGCAGCGCTGGATGCGACTCTGTGATAGGATCCCCAAAGGGCTGGATACAACTGTAGTAGGATCCCTACACAACCTGATACAGTTGCAGTAGGATTCCTGCAGGGTTGGACGCAGCTCCATGGGGATCCTGACAAAGCCAGACGCATGCATAGATAGAACCCCCACAGAGCGAGATACAGCTCTACAGACTTTCCGAAATCTGGAAACAGCCCCTGTGAGATCCCTACAGACCCATCCCTACAGACCCATACCATTCGGGATCCCCCCAGATGCCCCTGTGGATGCAGTCCTATCGGGATCCCTACAAAACCCGATATAAGGTCCTATTGGGACCCCCACTGAACTGGATGGAGCCCTACAGAGATCCCGACAAAGCTGGATACAGCTCGAGTAGGACCCCTACAAAGCTGGATCGCGTTCTAGTCGGACCTCTTTTGTAGAGTTGGTACAGCTCTATCAGGACGCCTGTGAAGCTGGATACAAGTCAACTAAGATCCCCATAAAGCTAACTGGCTGGATACAGCCGTATGAAGATCCTTACCGAGCTATGCACGGCTCTGTCAGGATCCCCATAAGAGCTGGAGACAGCTCTAGTAGCCCCCCTATAGAGCCAGCTGGATACTACTCCAGTGGGACCCCTCATAGCGCTGGAGACAACTCGAGCAAGATTCCCGTGGAGCTCGTCGTCTTCGTTGCAGCCGTCATCGTAGGGCCATCGGTGTCAGTATCAATAGTATCCGTAAGAGAAATAACAGTTGCTGAGAAAAGTACGAGTAGCAATAGTAGTAGCAGTAGCGATAGGTTCTAGTGGTGGTAGTCAGATCAGTGATAGCACCATTAGCAACAGTAGTAGCAACGATAGCAGTAATAGTACTAACAATACTAGCAGTGCAGTAGTAGTAGTAGTAGTAGTAGTAGTAGTAGTAGTAGTAGTAGTAGTAGTAATAGTAATAGTAGTAGTAGTAGTAGTAGTAGTAGTAGTAGTAGCAGTAGCAGTAGTAGTAGTAGTAGTAGTAGTAGTAGTAGTAGTAGTAGTAGTAGTAGTAGTAGTAGTAGTAGTAGTAGTAGTAGTAGTAGTAGTAGTAGTAGCAGTAGTAGTAGTAGTAGTAGTAGTAGCAGTAGTAGTAGTAGTAGTAGCAGTAGTAGTAGTAGTAGTCGTAGTAGTAGTAGTTGTTGTTGTTGTAATAATATAGTAGTAGTAGTAGTACTACTAGTACTAGTACTAGTACTAGTACGAGTACTAGTAGTAGTAGTAGTAGTAGTAGTAGTAGTAGTAGTAGTAGTAGTAGTAGTAGTAGTAGTAGTAGTAGTAATGGTCGAAATACGAATAGGATTAATAATAGCATGTAGAGGTCTAAATAGCTGTATAGTAGTCGAAGGAATACTAATTGTAGTAGTGGTAGTGATATGTTCAGTACGTGGGGAAATGTGCATAACGGCGTGTATAATGAACACAAAAATCATAGTAGTAACAGTAGCAGTTGCAGTAGCAGTAGCAATAGCAGTAGCAGTAGCAATAGTAGTAATAATAGTGGTGATGTAGTAATAGTAAAACGCCTTCTTCTTAAGTGTCTGGCCCGAAGCGCAAATCCTAGAGCCCATAAGCCTACGGACCACGGCCTAAGGCCAAAAGCCTATGCGCCTCAAGCCACGTGGCGCTGCAAGGCCCAAGCCCCGGACCTAGGGCCCCAGGCCCTCAGAGCCAAGCCCGGCGTCCAAGCTCCAAGGCCTTAGGCACCTGGCCCTAACACTCGAAACCTGTGGCCCGAAACATTGGGAACTCGGCAAACAAAACGACGGCGCAGGGCCCGAAAGCCACAGCCCCCACGGCCCTCAGCCCTGCAGCAGTGGGCCCTCAGTCCTGGACCTCAGCCTTTGGGCTTGGCCCCGAGGCTTCAAACTTCTGGAAGGTAGTAGTAGTCATCATAATAAAAATACCAATAACCAATACAATGTGGGTGCCTAGGGAGATACCCATAATGTATCGTCGAAAGTGTTAGGACACCTGCAGGGCGCCGTAAAGATCCTAGGACAAGGTTCCGAAAAAAGCCTTTAGGGCTATGATAGGGTCCCGTAACGATCCGATCGGGGTCAGATAAATCCCGCAAGGATCCTCAAGGGCTCCTACAAGGTTCCGAAAGGATGGTGTAGGGCTCCTGTAGGCTCCCTTTGTGATCCAACAGGGCCCTAGAGAGTCGCATAGAAATCAGATAGGCAATCCCAGCAACCCCACAAGGTGACCTTC